GGAAAGGAGAGAAACTGCTTTTGTGTCCAATTACCCTCTTTCTTAGTATGGCAGTGACAGTTTCAACAGTAGTTTAGTAAGATCCATTGCCCTCTACAGCCAACACGGTAATTAGTTCTGATTTCTCTTCTAATGGTCTTTGTGTCTTTGCCATGACAAACCATTGTTACAGGAGTAACAGTGTATCTTTTTGACACTTTTGTTGGTGGCATTGTGTTACAGATTGGCTGGGGAGCCTGTTGAAGACCTATGATTAAGACCTGCAAAAGATCTGGGAGAATTTCAGTTTTTTCTAAGGCATTCCCGGGGCTCACAGGCAGGCCCTGTTCTTTGCCTTGTGCCTTCCTGCTCCAGCCACTCAGAGGGTCGGAAGGAGGCAGGTTCAAACATGTGGTGGCCCGAAGTGAGAGTTAAATAAACCTATAGGAGCGTGAAAATTCCACTTCTAAATAATTCCTCTGGTTTTCGAAAACAATTTGGATGGCCTGCTGTTAGGAGCAAGCTCCGTGTCCTTAGGACTGACTGTATATTGGGAAATTCAGCTTTCAGTTTGTATTTTTTCAATAGTTTGCCCCAGTGTCTTGACTGTGGAATAGGAAGGCAGCAAGAGGTTAACAGGTAATGTGTATTGGAAATAACTGGTCAGCATCTGGAGGGTGCCAGCGTGCAGTCCCCAACATGTAAAGGCAGACATCTGCAGGATGCTTTGGGTTCCTGAGATATTTTTATGAATGAAAGGTGCTTATGACAGGAATGCATGCCAAAATAGGCAGTACTAACAGTGTCTCTACAGCCTCCTTATCTTCTCCAGTAAATCTACCCCTGAAGATAAATGTTTAATAACATTCCTATTGGGTTGTACTTTTTGAAGGTGGTTGAACTAATGACCCATAATCCAACAGATCCATTTGTAGTGAACAGCACTAAGGGTTCAGTCCTATGTCGCTGATTTAGCAAGATGTCTGCTTAATTTATTGTTTTGCTGTTCAGCTCTTGCTCACTGCTCAAGCCTAATGCAGTGAATGTAGCCCACCTTTCAGTTGCAGAAAGGCAACCCTTCCTTATATGTATAAAACTTAATAAAAATCCTACATATCCAAGGAGTTGTTAAGTATGTGTGCATGATACAGAAATTCGAGTTGTTGCTTCATTGTGATTTGATCAGGTAACTTGTGTGGTAGTAGCTGAGTACACAAGCTTCTGTTGCAAATACCTGTGAATGCAGCTGAAATTTGCCTTGGTCATTAATACTCCTGCACTCAAATAGCTTTTTCCTGCAAACATTAAAGAAAGGTGGAAATGTGGCTAAAGTAAATTTGTCTCACACTTCAAACAAATACCTGTGGAATTCTTTCTATTCGGCAAATGAAGTGCTCCTAATCACTTCAGTGGGAATTTGTCTGGTTTAAGGAATGCAGTATCCTGACCTAAGACCCCTGCTAGCACTTACGTAATGAGACCCACTGAACCATGTGGGACTACTTAAGCACATGAGTAATTTTATGGACCTTTGTGCAATATGCAGGACCAGGACAATGATTATGCCTACAGTCACTGATTTTTGTTTGCAAAGTAACAGATTTAAGCATTAGGCTGGAGTGACAGTGACCCCAGTCATGTTTTCTTGCCACTGCATTGGGAATAGTTTCCTCTAATTCTTGGCAGAGGATAATCAGGAAAATTGCTTTCATAAATCCTGAGAAATCTTCCAGTAGCTATTTGCTCACCATTTTTTGTTAGATTGTCTGGCCTGCATTCCAGGAACTTCCTGTAATAAAAAATAAATGCATAAATAAGTTGCCCCCTCTCCCCCTTCTGCTGTCACTCAATTATTTGCTTTGTTAGAAAGTTCTGCAGTTCAGAGTAAAGATAATTAAAGTGGGTGGGACTGTATGGGGAAAGAAACAACTACTTTTATTAGATACTTCCTTTAACTTTTTTTTTTTCTTTTTTAAGCATTACTTCCAAGTTTGAGGTGTTTTATTGCCAACTCAGATATGAGGCATTCTTGTTTGCATCCCTTTGTAAAAGAATTGCATTGATGCAACTGGATCCTGATGTCCTCAGTTTGTACTCTCAGGTTTTGGAGTTCTTGCCAATAACACCTTATTGAGGACCTGGACTGAATGGTGTCTGATAAGGAACAATCTTCCCACTGTTAAAAAATAGCCTTTAATTTAGTAAATTGAGAGACCAGCTGAGGCACCAGGAAAGGAAGCAGCAAAACAGAGCAAAATGTTTCCCTTCACAGCCTGATAATTCTGTCCTATACTTAATATGAAAATTACAGGTATATCAGAAGGTTTGCTACAAAACTGAAGTGCTTCATATTCTTGATTCCCAAAGCTTTATTTTATGTAGCTTTGTGTAAAATATGTTTGTGTTTGTATATTTTTATTATTGCAAGGGTGTAAAGCAACACAGGGAAGGGAAGTTGCCTAAATAGGGACTATTGATGCTTTGTCCCCTTTTTATTGTTCACAGTGAAGTCGACTTGTTTCCATCTTCTAACTTTGTCTAAAATAATGCAGACCTTCCAATGTAAGCATTCCAGTTTAAAGCCCTACCTTAATCTCTTTTTTCTGCCTGGCCCACCTTTATTTCTCCCTCTGTTTAATATGGCTAGGTACTGATCCACAGGTTTTATTAGAAAAAAACTGCTTTCTCAGATGAGATTTAGTGGTCATTGCATCTGTATCTTCAGGGCTGCCCATTATTGCACATTGACTGACAAATTTTTCTTCTCCTGAATGGCAGGATATGGCTTAATCCAGATACCTGTACAAACCAGAGGGGGGGTGGTGGTGGTGGAATGACCAGAGCATTCTGAAAAAGAAGTCCACGTTTCTGCAAGGGAAAATGTGTAGGGAGAAGTAGTTTCTTTTAATAGACTAGACTGGCTGAGATATCGGGGAGAAGGGAAAACAAGTAAGATTTTAGATCTCCAAGCCTTTCTCCAGGTATGCTGATTATGTACTCACTTACTGCAATGTGCTTAGGTTTTCCCAGAAATATTTTGTGTATTATTGTAGCAAATTTTATAGGTAGGTATGGCTTATACCTTATTACTCATTTCTTGAGTTAAAGAAGTTTAAAGTGCATACCTGTGAAGATTGGTTCTTGTTTCAAATGGTAAGTCAGTCTCCTGCCTGAGAGCTGTTTGATCAGGATCTTGTATATTTCCTCTTTCTCTGCTTATAGAGAGTTTTAGTATCATTATTATTTAAAAAACAAACAAAACAAGCTAAATTGTCAGCCCTGAAAACAAATTTCATCCCTTTTTTCTCGTACAGAACGACAGCATTGTGAATTGCTGCATACATAAGCCTCCTATTACGCCAATAGTACTCAAAGACAGGGTAGGGGCCATGTAGATCTTAGATGACTTTAATGAAGCAGTTGGGGAGGCAGTTGTGTGGTGGTAGGCTCAAAGATGAGACTGGGCAAGGCCTGGCGAACTTCATGCAGAGGAAATAAAAGTCGTGCAGAACTTTGTTGAGGGTCTTCCGCTGCTCTGCATGTGTGCAGGCAATGAAGGGTGGAAGTGTCTTCTGTGTTTCTTCATGGGGAGACTGAACCTGGAGAGCTGTTTATCTGCTGAGGGAAAGCAGCTGTCTCCAGCTGACTCCTGTTAGCGGCTGCCTGAGTGTACTTAGACAGGCTGACTCCATAGTTAAAATACTGCCTGCAAATACCAACTGCACCAAGAGCAGGGTCACAGTCACAAGCTGCTAGAGAAAGGACTGAAAACTCTAGATGGCTGACTTTAATGTGACATTCCATGTTTCTGAGCTTGCCCTTACCCTTTTAATCCGAGACCTCCTCACGTCTCAAATTCTTGTGCAACCTCATTTGTTGCATTTTGTGTGATAGTCTTCAAGTGCTGCTGTGAAATCCAAGAATAATTTGTGAACTTTGTGTGCTGTTTTACTGTCTTGATAATGAATAGTTCCCCATAGCCTCTCAGACTTTCGAGAAGCATTTCAGTTCAAGTAGAATTTTAGTTTATTTTCAAGTAGCATTTTACTTCTAAACAGGATTATATAGCTTGCTTCTTTATAATACAAAATTAAAATAACATCAATTATAGCTTTGTCTTTTCAAGTGTCCATAACTTTTTTGCAGTCTGCTAACATGAATGAGAAATGCAAAATGATCATGTAAGAAGTCTGTTTTAATTATAAGCATGTTTTTATCCATATGAAGGACTGTTCTAGTCACCTTGAAATTTCCCTCCAGAGAATGGCTGCTAAAAATTTCATGTGCTTTTGCTCTAAAATACTAGAAGGCCCTGTAGCTGATTGTCCTGTAACAAATATAAAGACTGTACTGTAAACCAGTAGCATTTACATTTTTATAATAAGAGGAAAACTTGGTATCTGTGACCTCATGACTCTTGCTTGTTTTTAAAAAATCTTAAATCCTTTGTGAATCTGTTGGCTAGAACACTTGGAAAAAAAAAAGAAAGAAAAAAGGAAAACAACCCCAACTGCTGTTCTTTAGTCAAGTCTGTTTCTGAATACTTAAAATATATAAATGAAATTGGAAAGTCTTTATTTCAGCATGGAAGAAAATACTTGCTTGGGCTGACTATCTTGCAGGCCATTTGTTTTAAACTGCTGGCTATATTATTCCTTGACAAATATGTTAGGTTTTATTTTCCTCAGTTGAAATACTGACATGAAAGTTAATAGTCAACACTGTTTTTGTTGTATTTTGACATTAAAAAAAAAAACAAAACAAAACTGATTCTGCCTTTATTTCTATAAAATTACTCAACTATAAGCATATTCTTCCAAGCATGAAGTCATTGTCTCAGGGAAAGGTCTGGTCATAAATAGTTAACAGATGAAAGTACTGTCTGTACACTCTCCTTAACTTCTAAGATGTCCCAACATCCCAACATTGAAGGGACTTTGGGACAATTGGGATCAATTGTAGGAAAGGCTCTTTAATTTTTAAGGAGCTTTTCACAAATGGAAGCATTCTTGTTTGTGCAGGTGAATCCTTGAATCCTTCAGGAGCTGAGTGCTCTCTTCCATCAGAACAGAGTATGGAACTCCCCCCTGCTGAGGACTCACCTTCCATGCAGTACTGGACAGCTGGCCATGGTCTGATGTGGCTGAGATCTGCAGGCAAACACACAGAAAGGTAACAAGCAGCAATATGAATGTCTCACCCGAGGACTGGAGAAAGTGGGATTATATGTATGGGAAGTGAGAGAAACACTTTGTTTGTCTCTGAAGTGCAGTTGAAAGAGTATAGACCACACAAGAGCAGGCAGTTGTTTGCAGGGAAAACATTTACGTAGATGAAGGGAAAACTTTGAATGACAGGTGTTACGGAGATGTTCAGTGTCATCCCGGGCTCCAGGTGCCAGACACTGGCAAGTAAAGCTATCAGTGCAGTTTGAACAGATTAGGTGCATATACATCTTAGACAAATGCATTGTTACGAGGACTAACTCAGCAGAAACAGCTATAGTAGCTAAAGTATTTCAGTCCCACAGAGAAGTGAATACTGGCTGGGGCTAGAGTTGCTCAACAAAGAACATTTCCAAGAGGAGCTGGTGCAGAGGTAAATGGCCTCAAAGAGCCTCCCATGGGCATCTTGGAGAGAACTGGTCACCTTCCTGAACTGGTGGCAGTTTTGCCACAGAGTTCAGCCACAGAGTTCACTGAGGCCAGGATTTTGTCCTGGGAGTTAATTAAGATGAGAGGGATCTTCATTCCAGGGAGCTATCTTAAAGCAGAACTCAGAGGTTTTTGATGGTGCTTATGGTAACTTTTAATTAAAAAAATGGGTTGAGTTAGTGTTAACTGCTATAAGGAAAAAAAAAATGTCACTTTCTTGCTCTCCCAAAAAACAATCACCATCACTTAGATTTAAAGAATAATGTACCTGATGAGAAAATAAGTATTAAAATGTATGTTGCCTTATGTTTCTTTTAGCTGTTCCTGGACTTTTAATATTATTTTCTGTGCTTTTAGTGAAAGCGTTAATTTTCTTTCACAGATCTAGCACTATCTAGAAAAATCTGATAATGCAGAGGAAAATGTGTGAACTACATACAACTCTTAGAGTGTTCCAGTCCAGTCAGTTATTTGTATTTTATTGTGTTTTACCCCATTATATATTCCTTTAACGTTCTTGATTTGGAATGATTTTCAATAATGTTTGGAATTCCCATAATTCCCATAATGCAGTCAGCACCCATAATGGTGTTGATTTCCATCTTTAAACAGAGTGTATTAATATACCTCTTGTGGTTTTGGGAAAAAATCTGAAACATAACTTCAAGCATTTTTAAATATAAGTTGGAAAATAGGGTTCAAAGTTACTTAAATTGTTTCCTTGTCTGAGTTAGGGAAAAAATTTAGAATTATTTCTTGCAAAGTTGAAATTGATGCTTTGAAGTAGATACGTGAAGTTTTTGATGCATAATGGACAATTTTAATATTATTAGTGGTTCATGTTGGTTCTGTGGTGAGTTCTTCAAGTTTAATTATAAACCTTTAAGAAATTTCAGTTTACAAATTTCACTGGACAATGTAAAGGAGAGTTGGAGAAAATCCATTGATACTGCCTTCTCATCTCTTTCGTCTTAGTTTTCCACAGGACTGTTTCTCCTGAAAGGATATTTCACTTAGCCCCACTGTCACTACTAATGTACAGATGAGACTTGAAAATAACAATTAAGTTAAATTGTAACTTATGCAAAGATGTCTTAGCAAGTGATGAGAGAAAGTATTTTAATTATTCTTGCCTTTCAGACCATCAAAGGTCTAACCCAGTTCCCAAAGCAGTCCAGAGTAGTGTTCCTCCTTGGGATTACATCCCAATAGTTTTATAAGGTACACCTTACTGTATTTTACTGCTATGGTTTAAAAATATTTTGGTGATTCTTCTATGTCTGAACATCTGGCAAAGATCTATCTTTGATATTCTCAGTCAACATGCCACAGCAGTAATGCTCTTTGCAAAATAGCATTCATGCTTATTAATTTTAGTAAAGGTCAGCCAATCTTCAGCTTTAGTAATGATTCAAAACGGTTTAACAGTTAGCAGAGGTATTACTTCAGCAAATAACTGTAATTGAAGGTTTATTTTTAGAAGAAATAGCTATGCAGTTTGAATTCATATGTTTTTAAAATGCCATGCATGTGATGTTTCTTACTGAAGGGGATACATTTAATACCGTGCTAGAGTATTTTCCCTTTTAACTTAAGAGAATTGCTTGAAACCTTACGTAGTCTCTTTCTAAAATGTTTTTCACAGGTGTTCTGCTAAATGAGTATTGCTAGGAGGTCTCTTGCTTTTTCTTGTTTTTAGGTTATCTTAGTAACACTGTTTACAAAAAAAAGAAGAACAAGCTTTAACTTGGAACATGTTTTACAATAAACGTGTATCCTGATCTGGAATTATTCTCCCAATATCCCATTGGCTTGACTTCATCTGTGCAACAGAAATGGGCTGAGATGCTTTCTCATGTTCAGGGTGGGAAAAGCATCTCTGTTTTTACTCTGAATTCTCTTGCTTTGATGGCTTTAGAGTACACTTCATTGTATCCAGAGGAATTCCCTCTGATTAACTGTATTGCTAGTTTGTAGCTCATCGAAGGCCCTCATATCAAATAGCAGATACGTGCAGTTATTCTTTTTCTTCTGAATCCTACTGGAAGAGGCTCTAGGAGAGGAATTCTTCAATGAGGATATCCCTGTTTGGAGATGAAGGTTAAGTTATTTTCAGTATTGTCAGTAGATCCTAAGGCAGTCAGTGTGCATCCACTTCAGTCCCACGTCCTCTCTGTGTGAGAACTCAGGCCTCTACAGGGAAATTGATTGAGACAAAAAGCTCAAGTTGGTGCTGCAGAGGCAGAAGAGTAGATGATAATAACAGCTAAGCAAAATGGATCCTACACAGGCATCTATGTGTAGCAATCACAAGAGCATGTATAGGAAATGTGAATTGTGGAAACAGTCACTGACCATAGAATTTAGCTTGAGTCACAGCGAAATTAGTAAATGATCTATTAATAAACTTAGTTAAAATACGGTAGCTGCCAGTTTTGTCCATTCCCTGAGAAGGTAATAAAGAAAAGCTTGCTACACAGTGCCAATTCCTGTAGCTCCACATGTAATATTTTACAGGGGCAGGGAGAGGGTATGAAGTATGTAGAGCTGTAAATGTGTAACTGAAGGCATAATTTGGCCTTTAAGACCTGTGCTACTGGAGGTGAAACAAGAAAAATGAAAGTCACATTTGATTTTCAGGTACCAGAGCAAGTCTAAAAAAAGAGTTACAGAAAACATCATTTTAATGGCAGCTGGTTTTGCTATGACCTGCCATTGCATGGGCTTTCAAAACCCAGAGCAAAACATTTTAATGATAAAAAGATGAAGCTTAAGAGAGTGTGTCAGTGCAGTAACAGGATTCTACAAAATATCAGGAAAGGAAAGAAGTAGGGAGAATGTTTTGGGCCATTTTATCTATTGCATTCTGAGAGATTGACAAGGAGTTGATATGATACCCTGTAGAGCAGGGCTACTTCACCTCTGCCTGCTTGCCTGCGGCTTCTGAGGGGAGAGCTGTAGCGCAGCAGTTTGAACATACCCTGTCTTTGCAAAGGGCATTAAGATACTGACGAGGGATTGAAGAAGGGAGTTTCTGGCTTATGCCCTCTTTCCCGTCCTGGAGACAGTCACAAGTTAGTACAAACAGCATCGCAGTTTACATGGCTGTCATGCAGGGTAGGCTTTGGTCAAGTGACCTGGCTCATGTCTAATGGTATAGCCATTTTCTTCTGCAGTAGTCTTCCTCTTAAAGCTTCCCAGAACCAGACTCCATCGACTGGTTTACTGTATCAGTAATCACTGGCTGTGTTGCATGTCACCGAATCCCGTTTGCTTGCCATTTACTCCTAACAGCAAGGAAGTTATCTGAGATGCAAGTTATATTTTTTTTGTTCGTTAGTTACTCATGGATGTATGTTGTGTATGTGATGGCCCTTACCTGAAACAAGACCTACTCTTTTACTGTAAACTAGCCTGCCACTTATTTTTTTTGGAAACTGCAAAACTGCATAACAGAAGATGATTCATATTGACTAGCTGAGGTACATAGCTGAAATAGCTGAGCAGATTATAAACTAGCTGCTGCCTCCTTTAACAATCACTGCAAGGAAAGGAATACAGGGTTTACAGCTGGCAAATTCCAGGGCACTAATTCTCATACAGTATCCTCAACCCTTCAGTAGCTGCGCTGAGATCTTTTTTTGTTCGGGTGAGCTTGCTGTGCAGATGTTAGCAAAAGTTCCTGAATGAGCAGAAGGCATTCTATCGCAGTGGGAAGAATGTTGACTGAATCCTATTTGTTTATTTTTCAAGGATGTCTGAAATTAAAGAGCTTTTTTTTTTTTTTTTTTTTAAGTCATTTTTGGGATGAAGTCTTTACCTTCACCTGGATTATAGCTGAAATGAACAGGACCCCGATAATGACAGGTGAAGAACTTCGTTATCGGGAACCATGATGAAACTGTCTAGTGAAGCACTGTTAAAAGCAAGCAGCACTAGCAATCTGTAGCATCAGAGCTGAAGCATTTTTAGAGAGAGGCTTTTCACATGCTTTGAGCTTTTTTAAATAACTGTTTATATTGTTCTCTGGTAATTCCGAGAAGAATGAGGCTGAAAAGGATTGGATGATCTGTAGCACAAAAGTAAATCCAGCTTGTTAGGTGTTTTCAGATGTGCTGGCTGTTTTCTGTAGGGTTAGGTTTTGATCTTTCTCAGTGTGAACTGCAAGGACCACCAAAATGCAGTTCTGCATCCCAGTTTGAGTGTTCAGTTCCCAAGCTCACATATGGGATGCTTTCATCCATAATGCATAGGAGTGCAGCTCCTGAATATACGTACAAATAATATGTAGTTTACAAAATAGGAGCTTTCACTTGGGTTTTCTCCATACCCTTCTCCCACTTCTCTAAACTTCCTGAGTGAAGGTACATTTCTTTTTTAAACCCTTTCCAATATGGGAGTGGCTTCAGGGGTGGATGCTAACTGACCATTGCTTTTGGGCATGAGCCTGGTCTGACATCCAGAGCTGCCAATAGACAAAAGCATGTATTTTACAGACGTTTTACAAAACATCTGCCT